CTACACATTCGCCATCCTAAATTTCATTTCCCTCCAGTCTCCTGTACCTCTTAACACACACACACACACACACACACACACACACACACACACACACTTCCATATATCTTTTCCTTTCTTAGTGTTTGCAAAAACATGATTATACCATATGTATTATCCCACAGTTTTGTTTTCCCCCTAAAAATTTGTCTTGGAGAATTTTCCATTTAGATATATAAAGCCTACTTTGTTTAACTACTGTAAAATATTTCATAGAATGAATGAATGAATGAATATATTGTGATTTACTTATTGATAAACATTAAAGCTTATTACAGTTCTTTGCTATTTAAAAAAAATGCTGCCTTGGGACTTCCCTGGTGGTCCAGTGGCTAGGACTCTACTCTTTCACTGTAGAGGCCTGGCTTCAATCCCCGGTTGGGGAACTAAGATCCCACAAGTTGTGTGGCACAGCCAATAAATGAATAAATAAATAAGTAATTTAAATTAAAATTTAAAAATGCTGCATTTGTGTGACTGGCCTGTTTTTATAGAATAGACTCCCTAAAAGTAGAATGCTGAGAAAAGATTATGAATTCCCTCATTTTTGATAGAAACTGCACAAAATTACATTGTAAAAATTCTTTACCTATTAGCACTTTCACCAAAAGTGCCTGTTTCTGCAGCTGATTTTGTTTATCTTTTAAATGTTTTTAATTATGATGGTAAAATATGGTATTTATTGTTTTAGTTAGTAATTCCAGAGATATTAAACACGTTATATTTTTGACAGTATCTCTATTTCTGTTTTGACAAATACACACATTTTTGTCCATTTAAAGATTCTTTAATTCATTTGTATGAATTCCATCTATTTATCAATTGATCAATCACTCTTTCGTCTGACATATAGAGCTTCTGGACTTTTTCTCTTGCTCAGACTGTCCCAACCATAGATTTAAAAATTATCCTGGGGCTTCCCTGGTGGCGCAGTGCTTGAGAGTCTGCCTGCCGATGCAGGAGACGCGGGTTCGTGCCCCGTTTCGGGAAGATCCCACATGCCGCGGAGCGGCTGGGCCCGTGAGCCATGGCCGCTGAGCCTGCGCGTCCGGAGCCTGTGCTCCGCAAATGGGAGAGGCCACAACAGTGAGAGGCCCGCATAACGCAAGAAAAAAAAAAAAAAATTATCCTATATTGTCTTTTGATAATCTATTGGGAATTCATGTTGTTTATGGTGTTAAGTAGAAGGGTCCTCTGTGTGTTTGTTTTTTTTTCCTTTCACATTGGTAGGCAATGGTCTAATACCTTTTATTGCATAGTTGGTCATTTTCCCAATGATGTGAAATGCTACCTCATGATAAACTACAACTCCACGTATACATAGTCTGATTCTAGTCTTTCCATTCTTTTACTAATATGTTTTCATGTTTTGTTTTAATGCCACAATGTTTTCATTATTTATATAGCTTAATGACATGTTCTTATATCTAGTAAGGCAAGTTTACCTTTTTTCTGTTAAAAAATTCTCTTGGTTATTTTCATAAATTTTTATGTCATATAAAATTGAGAGCTTGTCAAGTAAAATGAAATATCTTCTTGGGATTTTAATTGGTACCATATTAATTTGTGGGATACTTTAGAGAGAAACAACTATTTTGCAACAATGAATCTTCTTGTCCAAGAATATGGATACTTATTTAGGTCTTTCTAAATGTCCCTCCCTACATTTCTGTGATTTTGTTTTATATGGTTTCTTGTACATTTCTTGGATATATTATTCAGGCTTCTGTTTTTGTTTTTGCTATTACAAATGGAATTTTTTTTTCTTCCAAAACATTTTCTAATTAATCATTTTTGCTTTTTGGGAAATTATTAAATTTATGTTTTAATATTTAGCCTATTTTTAATCTAAGATCTTTGTTGGTCCTTTCCAAATATCTTGTGTTTTGTGCTTTGTATTTGAGAGCCCTTGCTTGGCTCCTTTTGAGTTAGCAGCAGCTGGTTCTGGTGAGGACAGGATGATGGCAAAAGTGCATCACTGTTAAAGAGTGTTTAAAAAATTAAAATAAAATAAAGGAAAAATAATTTAAGAAAGAAAAAAAATGGAAAAAAAAGAATGTTTACCACAAAAATAGAGTGTTAAAGAGTCCTAACTTTTATTGAGGAATAACTGACAAATAAAACTGTATACATTTAAAGTGTACGGTGTGATGATTTGATACATATGCATTGTAAAATGATTAGCAAGATCAAAATAATGAACATATCCATGACCTCAGAAGTTAACATAGGTAATTTTTTTTAATTTATTACTTTTTTTGTTACTCTTTTTTTGTGATAAGAATGCTTAAGATGTACTCTCAACAACTTTCAAGTATTCAATACCATATTATTAACTATAGTCATTATGAAAAACAGTATGGTGGTGTCTCAAAAAAAAATTAAAAATTGAACTACCATATGATCGAGCAATCCCACTCTTGGGTATATATCCGAAAGAATTGAAGTCAGAATCTTGAAGAAATATCTGCACCCCTATGATCATTGCAGGATTATTCATAATAACCTAGATATGGAAACAACCTAACTGTCCTTAATGGATGAAGAGATAAAGAAAATGTGATATGTATATATATGTACACAGTGGAATATTATTCAGCCATAAATACACACACACACACACAAACACACACACACACACACACACACACACACAGGAACATGATGCAGCCATAAAAAAGAAAGAAATCTTGCCATTTGTGACAATATGGATGAATCTGGAGGACCTTTTGCTAAGTGAAATAAGCCAGGAAGAGAAAGAGAGCCCTGTCCTTCTGAGACGCCAGCATCTTCCTGCAGTGCCTCGCCATCTTCCTGGCCGCAGTGTTCACCCCCAGAGGTTGAGTGTTGGGTACACACCATGCCTGTTCATGTGCTGCCCAAATGAGGAAGGTGGGGGGACCCAGTTTCAGCTGCTTTGACCGTAACTCCCAAGTGAGTGCCGTGATGTGGCCTCACTGGGTCCTTTGAACTTACGAGTTCCCCAAAGCTGCTCCAACTTCTCTAGGAAAGTACATTTTCTTTTATACTTTCTATTCTCTATGAATTCCTCAAAATCTCAGGTCTACCAATGATATCATTTTTTGTTTCCTAATGTTATTATTGATTTATTCTCCTTCTATCACTTTTTTGGCTGGTTCATGGGTTTGGAGACTGGCAGATAAATAGAAGTTGAATTCAGTTCACTATCCTGATCATCAGAATGATTTCCTCCAGATATAAATCTTATTATATCATTTTCCCCTTAAAATGTCTCAGTGATTCTCTTTCCTCTGTTCCACAAGAGGTGACTGCCACTTGTCCAGCCTTTCTTATCACCCTTTCTCCCAAACCCAGATCTCATTTTTCAAGCTGGAGACACACTGAACTACTTGTGCTCCCCAAACACACTCTATGTCACCAGTCCTTGTTTCTGTTACCCCTTACACACTTTGTTAGCTTTATCCATTTGATCAGTTAGATTAGCGCTAACAAGTCAACTCCTCCAGGAAGCCTTCCCTGACCTCCAAAAGTTTAGATGCCTCACATCTATTCTTCCAAGGTACCCTGTGCTTATTTCTGTCCTTGTGTTTGTCACACCATATTGCTTTTTACTTATTCTTTACCTCCTCCACCTGTATTTTATGCAAAAAGAAGGGATTGTAATTTGTTCATCATTCTAAGCTCCCTAACATAAGGAACCACAATTGGTTCTTACCTGTATACTTTCTGGAATCCAATATAATGCCTTAAACATAGTTGTTGTTAAAAGCAGGAGCTTCAGAGTAAGGCAGACTTAGATTCAAAGTCTAGTCTCTCACTTACTAGTCCTGTATATGCTGATTACATAATTTGTGGAGACCAGGGCAAAATGAAGATATGACCCTGGACTTGGGTGGGGAAATGGATCTCTCCTTCCCACAGGCCCACTTCTCCAACCCATGGCTGATGGACAGTCTCCAAGGGGTTGCACCCTCCATGTTTTACAGGATTGGTATCTGGATTGGGGGTAGGCAAGTGGCTCTTGCCATCTCCTAACTACATGACATGGCACTGTCAGCCCAGGGCAGTGACCCCTGCTACCTTGTCCATCCCAAAGAGGGGCCTAAGCCCCCCGGGGTCAGACAGCAATGGTGGAAAATGGTCTACCCCTGCAGATGGTCACCGCCCTGGTCATAGGATGGCAGCAATAGCCCTCCCCCATTTTCATTCTTACTCACTCTGTGATGTCACTCTTCAAGCTCTACTCCAATGACCTTTGAATGATAACTTCCAAGGAGGTAAACTCAATGGGCATTTTTTTAAAAAGTCCTCGTGCAGGATACCTGCGTGTGCTCGGTTTTATTATTTCAAGAAAAGGACAGCTGTCTTTGTTTCCTGTTGTTCCTACTTTTCAGAGACACAAACTCCTTTCTATGCTGGAAAAATTCCTGACAGCCTCAAGCTCGAGGCCACGATTTAAAACCTTCAGGATTTTGAACTCACCGGGGAGGAAGAAGGGGAAGATTGGGAGGACTGAAATGAGCCCTTTAGGCTCAATCTTTTTACATGCTCTGTGTTATAAACAATCATCTGAAGATCTTATAGCATTTGAGTGAGAGTTAGGTAGTAAGGTAACCATATTTGACGAGGAAAAGCAGACCTAGGGGAGAAGGCACCTTTTTCCTTAGGCTACCGTGGGGAGCTTGGAACAGAAGCCAGTGCCCTATCAGGAGATCCCAGTTGCCTCTGAAATTCCACGATCAGAACAGGCAGAACACAAAAGAGAAACCCACTGAGGAGAGGAAATGTTTTCCCACAAAAGCAACTTCCTTCAATTTGTATTTCAGCAACAAATTTGTTTCCAGTTTCAGATGCCACTATTCAAAAATGACCTGTTGCCTTTCAACTATAATAGACCCCCGCTCATTCTTCAGTGATTGCTTGTAAATATTTATCAATATGGCTTGGCCCTTAGCCCCCTTTTCTCTTGCTTTTATTGCCATGAGCCCCCAGCCCCTGCCAACATTTCTCAAGCTTTGATGACTGTTATGTCTTTCACGTGGGTCAGTGTGCTTTCTCATGTGGTCTATGAAGTGTTGTAAACATTTACAACTGAACTGTCAACATGGATAAATAAAGCACTGTACATTTTTACAGTTCGGTCACCTTTATTATGCTTTTTACACTCTTGCATAGGTCCAGAGGATTTGCTTTATCTCAAGAAAGGAAGCACTAGATTAGATTAGTTTAACTATATTACTCAGTCCTGGTTGAGCTAAAATCCTGAAACTGTCCTATTCGTAGAGTTATATGTGTTTTTTCTTTAGTTAGAAACTGGTTTATTAATAATATAAACAAAGTCTTGATTAAAATTTCAGTCTTCCTCTCACTGACAACTACAGTTGTCTAAGGCAGCAGTTCCAAA